TGCTGGGATAATGGAACAAAAGACAAACAATGTCTGGGAATTCCGACAGTTTTGTTAGTATTTGAGTTGTTTCAGTATATCTGAGTTTTTTAAACTAGGAGTCAAGTCTTTTTAGTAAATATGGAATATGAGAGCGTTTGGTAAAGCATGAACAGTTTGTAAGAAGTAAACAGCTTATCCAACATTCCAAATGTCCGTACAGTCATACCTTATCAAGACAATGTAACCAGTTTTACATGCATAATCGTTATCCGACGTTATGATTATGAGATATTTTCTCCGCCGTCAGAAATTTTTTATAGCAAATTGCACGTTAAAGAAAATAGTTGTATGCATTTCTCTCAATATAAGAAATAATTCTTAATATTCATAAAAATACAAAATTTGCTATTTGATGAACATGCCATTAAAAATTTGGTCATAATTTCACGCAGAGTGACTGGTTCGTCTTGTCGTGACTCGACAGACTACCTCGCTAGGCAGCATTAAAAGTGCGACACTTTGCTCGGTACGCCCATCTCTTATCACTTTGCGAAAGACAATGATAAAGTGTGAAAAGCCTAATCAGACGACACGTGGTAGTGCCAAATATAGTGAGATAATTAAAAGCGAACGTGTCAAAATTCAGAAATTACAAAAAACGCCTTTTGCCAAATTACGCAAAACCCAATACTTGAATATCTAGTAAGAACGGGACTACAAAATTCTAAAGGTAGAAAGGGGTCCATTTTTACGAAATAAACAATTTTTACATATGTTCAAATGACTTTTGCCAAGTTACACCGAACTCAATATATGAAAGTCTGGTAAAACCCGGATTTAGTTTTTCTAAATTATAGCAAATTCACAGAAGAACAAGAAGTATCGAATTTTTAAAAAATTTCAAATATTCCATTATTTCCATCGCCTCTGTTTGTGATGTGTTATAGACGAAAGATCGAAATAAAATCACATTTCTTTGTTTTGTGATATGCTTAACTCTCCAAACTTGTTCATTTGTTTTATATACTTCTTTTCAAAAAAAAAGGCAGAATCTAATTTCCGAATTCGAATCGAAGTTAAATATATTCAATATTTTTAATACTTGATTTCTACATAAAGTTTGTTTTATATTCTTTCATGATACACGCGCAGCTCTTATCACTCATATTACATACTTCACAAGAAAGTGAAGGGTAGAATCAAATATCCGAATTCGGATCGGAATTAGATATAATTAATATTTTGAATACTTGATTTTCATATATTGTTTCAAGAATAAAAAGAAAGAATATAATCGAACAATCAAATTCGAATCGAAACTGAATATATTCAATTGTTTGACTTCTTGTATCATACTTGCATGTATCATATGCATACTCAAAAAATTGTAACAAGACATGAAGTCCGTTTCATATCCAATCGATATTATATTGACAGTAAGTCGGAAACGTAACGATTCAATGAACATCTCGTTCCCCGTGTCTATCAAGTGTAACCCGAAAACTTGTAAATCTATTTTTCTGTATAAACTGTCATGTATGGCCATAAAGTAATATCTAAATGAAATCATAGTTATGTATTCCCCCACGCTTGCTCAGTGATGCAACTCTCCCATGACACAAACCTGAACTTTGGGATTTGAATATTAATTAGTCAATTTTTTTCTGTAATTCGCTGGACAATGCAGTAAGGCGGCGTAGCAACAGCATTGTTTTAAACGGTAAAAAGAAATATGTAATTGATGTAGCAAGTCCTCAGTCGATGGAGCTATTTAAAATTATTTAGTGCATTTGTATTATGATAATATTTATTAAAGTACCGGCGTGTGCAAAAGTGTTTTACACAGAATTACAGGGTATTGCGATGTTCTTATGCTTAGGCTCATTTTAGTTCTTGTAGTTCTCCATAGCTGAAGCAGCGATAAAATAGACAGTCATAGTAGAGACAGATTGGGTGCCCAGTTTTTTAGATATAATTTACATGCATTACATTCGTAAGAAACATCGATTATTTGGCCACTTCGGTAAACTATGTTGTATTTTATTTTGAAAGGAAATGGCAATGGTATATTCTCTTTTGTTTGTTATACATCAGGTTAAATTATTTCGTTTCAAATCTTAGCTATTTCTTAAAAACTTCAATTTGTTAATAAAAATGTGGAAAACATTGTACTGTGCAACCTGGTTTGAATCTGAAATAAATATAGTTTCCAATTTGTTAAGAATATTAATAAAAATTCCTATTGTCACATGTAGATGAAGTTACCTACCGCATAGTGAAAATATAATTTTTTAAAGACGAAACAAAAATAAACAATGTTGCTCGTGAGAGACCTTGGCCTATTTTCCAATTTTAAATAAAGTCCATTTTGTTGAGACATAATAAGCAACATAATACAGCAATTGACCTCTCTTGTAATGTCATAATTTGAACGATGTCATAATGGTCGAACGGCGCGAAAAATGATATCACTGAAGTCTCGATTATGATGTCATAATCCTTCTTCGTGAACGCGCGATGTCGAAATTTTCGTACGAGCTCGGCGGGGAGGAAAATCTTTCGCTCGATGTTCTTTTTTTCGCTATACATCTATCTGGTCTTTACCGTTGCTAGACCGACTTATATCTTTAGGCGAATACAAGCAATTACTATTCAATCTTAACGAGTCGTCTTATAGAGCAGTTGAGGATACTTGACCCGCAGTTAGTATTGTATTCAGACTTCCAACAGTAAATGCCTTTGATATTTGAGAACATATGCTATTTAGTTGCCCACACAATAACGACGGAAATTATTTGTTTCCTCAGTTACATATGTCATATACCTTCAGTTCATCTTTGTTTATTTTTTTTAAATCAACTATCAAAAAAGATTATGATAAGAGTACAGATTAGTTTGAAGTTGGCACTGGAAGGATCCAGTTATGTAGAATTCCAAAGATATATTTTTGCATTTTTTCAAACAATATATATATGTTTTAAAAAATCGAGTGAATAAGGATATAGTATTTTATCGGCGATGAGCAATTAGAAAAGAAGCTTTATATATGTTAGTAGCAAAACCAAGAATAGTTATGTATGAATAGTTCAATTATATGATTTAGGAAAAACACTTATGTAAATATACATACGTGTATATCTTAAGAAAAACTGTTATGATACTTATCTATATGTATACTGGTATGCTACGTTAGGTGAATTAAGATTATATTGTTCGTTTATCTGTACGCGTGCCGTCAATTATGATATCATTATCGTTAATGTGATTATTATCAAATCATGTTAAAGCAAAGTTGTCGTTAATTGTGACAACATAAACAACTTTCGATTGTTTGTTGTTGTTACGTAATTAAATCAAACAAGGGAATCAATTGTTTGATTTAACAGGATTTATGACAAAACAAAAAGGGTTTCGCCAGAATGTGAATATATAATAGTACTAAGAAGTATTTGAAGAATAAGGGTATTTTTAAATATCGAAAATACAAAAGGAATTTGTCATTCTATTTTTAACTCTTTTTACGTATTTGTACTATTATATAGCAACTAGTACAAATTTAAGTCAGTAATTATCATTTATTATTATAAGCTTATAAATATAAATTCTCAATGCGAATCTATATAATTAATTAATTAAAGCTTTATACTAATTTATCAAACGCTTTTTGGTATTTTATTATAAGTCGGCAACAGCTTATCATTAGCTAAGGCGGGCCATTTCCTTTGATTCCGAAACCAGCTTTTATAACTGCGTTTGACAAGTTTTTCGTGTCTTGGTGAAGAAAAACAAATTTGGTTGCAACATGGCAGATATAATATAAAAAAAATGATGTAAATTTGATTTGATTTTTTGTATTTATAGTTTCCAGATTCCTTATATTAATGTTTAATTTGTTCTGTAATTTCTACGAAAATTTTGTTAAACTTAACATTTTTGATTTAAAGTATGGGCATCTCAATAGCATATTAGACAAGTAGCCATTATGCAGCATTTTCACGATATACTGGACAAGATGAGAAGCCAAAACGTTAAAATTATACAGGGAAGTTATGTACTCTTACCGGGCTGTTAAAAATTACTACTTTCTCGGCCTCGACGCGTGGATTATTGTATAATTATACCTTGTTAACTATACCTAAGGCTTTTCCAATAGTTGCAAACCTTTGGTAATGGAATTGCAACCAAGAATTGAGTGAAGCTGTCAGAGTAGTTTTGTATTTATTCCAAGTGCAGTATAGAAAATTTGGGCCTATTTGAGAGAATAAAATAGTTTATTTATATTGATATATTTTAATTCAATTCAGTTTTGTAGAATATAGATGTCTTTGACATTTCACCAAACATCCAGCTAATTTATATGCTGTTCTCCGTTATAAACAGATATATTCAAAAAGAGTAATTTTCGTTTTTCAATGACTAGAGAGCCTTAGAATATTTTCTTCAAGACGACATTGCACAAAATAAGAAATACCTCACTTTGTCAAGATTGCTTTCATAGAAATCTATGTCATTTGATATATTGCGCCATGACATTCTAATATTTCTCTGTTTTGACTTCAATTTCATTTGAATACGAGCAATTTAAAACATCTTCTATTACTTAGTAATCGCCATTCCTCAGGATCAATTGAGTTTAACATCTACAGCCAATTATTGGATTGAATTGAGACCATGAAATTCAAAAAATATTTGCTAAATCAACTTGAATTTGAAGTAAATCAATTTGTAATTATTTCATTTATTAAATATACCCCCGACAACTCATATATTCTCCCTTTTTCCGACTTTAATCATATTGTATTTGAAAACCAACTTCTCATAATGTTTGTTAAAACCTTGTTGATTTGATATTTTCCACAGCACTTTTTTTGTAGCATTAAACTTAGAGACACTGTTTTTAAGTGAATTGCGGTAATGTTAGTAATCTCTATTCGTGATTTACTTATAGATATAGTATCATAACAAGACAGTACTAGTAGAAAAAAATTATGTTAAAACCAATTCTCAGTGCTTCAGTTCAAATTTGCACCGAACAAAGTGGCAGAAAGTTAAAACATTATTACAGAAGCAGCATTTTTTAGCTTTAACCATACAATATCTCACGCTTTTAAAACGATCTTTTTTGCACTATGAAACCTTTAATTATTGGTTTTCGAAGCTGACTAATTATTGTGATCTACACTTAAATCATGCCTTGATAATGCGAGGCTACGACTAGGACAGGAAATTGAATTTTTAGATTTGAGAATAAATGTTAAAATTTGTATTTAAAATTTTTAAAATTTGTATGAAATACATGATATAATTTCCTAATTTTTGATATCGATGTCTGTGAGCAAGATAAGTCAGAAACCAAAGAAAAATAAAATAAAAATCAATAAAATTGTTTAATGAAAAGTTATGTAGAGTAGTCATTCATATGAGTTGTTGAGAGAGATTCTTGTCCCAATGAAAAAAACAAGTCTGCTATAACTGTAACAGATTGCCTTGGCCACATGAAAAGTAGTTTACCCTTTTTGAGTAGCATGAACTGCACTATTACACCAAGCAAATATTAATTAGCAATAATGTATTTTATATTTCTTTCACAGTTATGAATATAATGAACACCAATACTTCAAAACAAACCATGGCATCAATACATTCATATTCTGAATTATGTCATCACAAGTCAAAATATCGGGAAATGGGATATACGTCAGATGATGACGTCATATTGCAAAATATTTCAAGACGTTCAAACATGCAACGCTTTATATCCGACAACGAAAAATTGGAATTATTGCATCATCAATGCAACAATGGACAAAAATCTTCAAAAACAAAAACTATAATGACGTCACATAAGAAAACAATATTTCACAAGAGAACGTCACAATCGTTTTTAAATAAACTGTCCAAAACACTACTCCCGTCATCGTCTTTTTTAAAAATCGTTTTATTCGCGCATATTTTCTTCCTATTTCTGCAATTCAACTCATGTAGAGCAAGTCCAAAATGGTGGTAAGTTGATATTTTTATTGTGGTTTGTTGCATTGTGTAGAATCATAACTCGTTTTCATAGTGTATTTTTGTTTCGTTTCATTGATTTTGATATGATCGTTTTGATTCTTACTAAAATAGACTGCAAACTATATTTTTGGCAAAAAATTGTACATTGTACGATTGCATGTCAATTTAAAAAGATATTATTTTCGAAAATTGCTTAAAACACCAACAACGCCGCAATGTTGTCTTATTGGTATCATCTCTAGCTTAATTGGGCCTTTTCAATTACATTTTAAAATGCCATAGCAATTACATCCAAGCAGAAACGATAATTTGGCTTCTCTCACAAAAATTGTTTGTTTTGCGACATTTTAATTGCTCAATTTAAAGCTGTTTTGCATCATTTTTACATGAACAAAAAATATGAAATTACGTAAATTTCATGGACGACAAAGATAGGTATGATGCAATTAAGTTACGTTGCATTAAGACGTAAAACCGATTATCAATTGTTTGTTTATTGTTACGTGATAATTCTATGAATAATAGCAATCACTTATGTATTGTGATTGCATAAACCGCGTCGCGTGCCCACTATTACGGAACAATGATAACTATGACGCGTGACCCGCGTGGTTTTGTGTTGCGATTTAATTTATTTTTGAATAAATTTGGGCAAATGAGTATGAATAAAATAGGATTTTTGATAATCTTCATATTATATATGCTAGTATAATTGAAATAACGTTATAAATGACAATTCCGTCGAAAAAAAAAATTAAATTCTTTGTAAGCGTTGGTTGGGTCTTTTTTTATTCAGGGATACCAAAATTGAGATTCGAAAATATCAGATGATGTGAAATAAAATTGAATTACAAACCCAGTGAATGATGTTAAACAGAGCATCAAACTTTAAAATGATTGCAATAAGATTTCAAAGTTTCTTGATTAAAATTTTATCACAAAAATACTACCTGCTGTGTGACTGCTTCCGCACCTTATGTTCGCCCTATGTCATTATTAGGTGATAACAACTTTCTATCGCACATGCGGAACGCATGCGCATTTCGAACGCGCCAAAATTATTACAGTTGATGACCTTCCGCCTTCGCACATTAGCTATTGTTTCCGAACAATTGTTAAAACAATCGGAGCAATAAATGAAATCAATAACAATGGGTCGACCTTCAAAGCAAATACGTCGAAAGCTATGATATCACAATCCCAAAAATAAAATGAATACTACGATACGAAATGAATTTTAGAGTAACCCGTATTTATATCATATGTGTTGTTTGTTTATCCATGAGTATTTTAACAAACTAAATTATCTTCATTTCAGGAGTATTGTGAACACGCCTGCAGCCAAACCAACGGACACCCACACACGACGACAAATTCTAAGATACCCGTCAACACCATCAAGAATACAATCAGGAAGCAGTAATTTATATAAAACATCAAAAGACAGTAAACCAAATAACTTCGATGATATTTTATCGGAGGAAAGAATAAAAGAGATACTTAGCAACGACGACGTAGAAAGTATTCCAAAATCAGGCGGTTTCGGGAGTTTTCAAAATTCAAATCAAAACAAACGTGACGTCACAAACAATCGAATTGATGACGCCACACAGTTAGCAACAAGAAGAAGACAGAATTCGTTTCACACAAATGTTGGAGGAAATTCACTTACGGCAAACTTGCGCCCACCAGTCCTTGTCGACCAAAGAGTGCAGCTTTTGAACAGAAAGCAACGAAGACTCTTGCGTCGGAATCCTGGTGCTCTCCAAGAGATTATTAAAGGTCTTCGAAGAGCTGTGAAAGAATGTAAGTTTCAATTCCGAAACAGAAGATGGACCTGTCCTACTGATATTCGCGATAGCTCTCTATTTGGAAAAGTTTTGAACAGAGGTAAGCGAAAAAAATTTCCTTCAATTTTAAGTCGCTGATAGCCGAGTTAGAAATATTTGACAAATGAACTCCGAGTCGAAAATTCAGAATAAAAGACTTTAATTAAATTCCGTTCATAAACTCTGTTTTGTCACCCAAGTTCAAGGTCAAACTCTAAATTAAAATATCTTTGCCAATTTCATTGGTCAAGGATACTTGTCTTGTCTATTGACGTAACAATTGCATTGTTACGACACACAATCTTGTAACTGAATTGATGTTGTAATGGCGGTAAACTCGTGTTGAGCACGTGTGTATTTATTGGATAATTTATTCGATGGATGACCTTAATGTAAAAAACAGAGTGAAAATAAACAATAGCATATATAGTAAATATCTGCTATTATTTAATAGCATCAATTTACAGTACGACGGTTCCAATATATCTTCAGTAAACAGAGAAAAATAAAGTTTATTTGGAAAATATTTCTATTGCATAAATACTTGTATATCTTTTATCGATTTCAATTTTTGTTCCTCGCTGTTGATAACTTCACTTTGATTAAACTTTGATTAAATAAGCAATAAGATAATTTCCATTTCCAATAATCTTTTCTTACTTTTTCAGGATTCAAAGAAACTGCATTTATCTATGCTGTCACGAGTGCTGCTGTAGCTCATGCAATCGCAAGGGGATGTAGTGAAGGTTAGTCGACTGAATTTATTTTCACTGCAAATTCAAGTCCGGAACCAAAATGTATCAATACTTCTAATTAAGCTGTGTTTTTGTCATGTTTTTCTTACACAAAAACCATAAAAAATGTTGAAAATGTAATGAAATGGTCAAATTTTTTAGGCCAGATAACTTATTTCAAATAATAAGGGTTTTTCATGATTTAAGTCGCATTTTCTAGCAAGTCCAGAATAAAAATACATTGTTATATTTTAAATGTTTCCTAATTGTGGGTTATGTTTTGCTGTGTCAGAAAAATGAAAAGGAAAGGTTAAAATTTTAAATAAAGTTTTCACATATTGGAAGTTTAATAGATTAAATTAAAATCTAAATATAATTTTTCACAATTTTTCATTTTTTTCATTCTGTTTACTTTCAATCAATTTTTCAGGAACTATCACAACTTGTGGATGTGACGAAAAATCTGGAGAAGGCGGTCCAGGTTGGCACTGGGGCGGTTGCAGCGATAATTTCAAATTTGGTAGAAAATTTGCAAAAGACTTTGTCGATGCTGGAGAGGAAGGCCAGGATCTGAAATTCAGAATGAATTTGCATAATAACGAAGCTGGTAGACAGGTAAATAACTATTTTTTATTTATTTATTTACAGACTGTTTTTTCATTGTTTTTATTTGAAAATAACGAAGCGACTTTTTGACTTTTAGCAAATTTGTAATGTAAATCCACTAAATTACTCAATTTATTTTTAAATTTTCAAAATTTAGATATTTATGGCAAATAAGTAATTAATATATCACATCCGCCTTTAGTACGCATATTTAAGGAATTCAAGTTTCAAATTGTTTATTAAATGTTTGGATTCGTATTTGGAGAGAGATCGATAACAGAAAAAACAACGGTTGATCTTACAAAGCACATTAATCAACTGACAATAATACTACCAATTCAATTTTATTTGTCTTCAATATATTTAATCGTCAAACTTCTATATTTTATAGACTGTAATGGAAAAGAGTGTTCGATACTGTAAATGCCATGGCATGTCAGGTAGCTGCACAGTTAAGACTTGCTGGCTTCGAACCCCTAATTTTAAAACAATCGGGAGACGACTGAGAGATAAATACGACGCGGCAGAAGAAGTCACCATTTCTAACCACGGTAAGTTATAATTGAATTTGAGAAATAATAAAATATAAATACATTAACATTAGGTAATATAATATAGTATGCGCTACATATGAATTTTATACTATTGAATTCACCTATTTTGGTCACTGATTTGAGTATTTTATAAGCTCTATAAAAGTTTGCTATATAACTAAAATGATATAAATATTATTTGATAACCTTGATAATTTTGAATTCTAATTTTGAATCCCTTCAAAATGATTTTGTGGCTCCCTTATTTGGACAAGTTTTTCATTATTTTTCATTTTATGTACAGGCTCAGCACACAACGATGACGATGGTCTTATTCCTGCAATTCCTGGACGAAAACCCCCAAAGAAACATGATCTCGTTTATTTCGAGAATTCACCGAGTTACTGCATCAAAAATCCAGAATTTTGGGTTCAAGGAACAAAAGGAAGAACATGTAACGCAACATCCAGCGGGTATAATGGCTGCGAATCAATGTGCTGCGGTAGAGGGTACAGGACACGGATACGGACAGTCAAACAAAAATGCAAGTGCGAATTTAAATGGTGCTGTGAGGTCCAATGTCAAATATGTGAAGTTAAAAAAGAAATCAGCGTTTGTAAGTGATGAAGCAATCAAACGCAGGGTTACTTTAAACCATAAATTCAAAACAAAAATCGCAGATAATTTCCAGTTATGTGAAGGGGAAAATAAGCGGGAAAGGACCTCCCGAAATATGCGCACCAAGATGGCGCACAACCTGAACATAGTATGTGTGTGTACCGATTGGAATGCAGGTTGTGCGACATCTTGATACGCATACTTTTGAAGCACCGCAGGAAGAATATGGCGCTGGAAGCCTGTTCTGAACTAGAAAGAGAGTGGTGTTTGAAGACTCATAAAAATACACAATTTTGCAAATGCAATGTTCCTATTTTATTTAGAATACAAAAACTATTAAACGCGCAGTGCAATGTGACACAGTCAATTTTGAAACCCAAATAAATAGAATTTTAAATACAGTACTGAAAAATAATAAATCAAAAGATCATATTTTGGGTTTGAGTCTCTCGAGTGTATCAATAAAACATCCTATAATACTCATCTTGCCAAACATTGCCATTGTTTTTTTGTTAATACAATATTATAATTTTTATTTTTTTGTCTTCTTATCATTTTTTTCTTAAATTTAAGCTTTTTGATAATTGTGCTTTTTTACTATTTATTTCTTTTTGTAAATAAAATATTGAAACGAATTCAGTCTATTTCATATTTGGTTAACTGGTTAAGTTTGGTGAAAGTTATTGTTAGCGAATAAAGCAAACTTAAATTAGTTTTATGTATGTTTTTTTTTAAATAACTTATGAGCATAGAAGTAATTTGCTTCAACGATTATCATATATTACAATGACAAGCAACATAAAATACTAGTAGAATTGCGCAGAGGTTGAACACAAATTTAGAAAAGTATTTTTCATAATTAGGAAAGAATTTCATGACTAACACATTGTGACTGAATGTGTTGAAACACTGAAATTCTTTTGTCCAATCGATTGTCATTAACCAATGATATATGAGCACTTAACGTGACAACAGTTTCGCCGAGACTAAGCCTTTTTCGTTGAAACTGAGTTGGGTCAAGTGATGAAGAATTTCGGACAGAATAGACGTTTCAATGAACATGGGCATAGGGGATACCTGCCTTCATATTGGTAATTAAAATTTGCAATAAACTTTAGTTTTACACGATACATCATCTCTTTTTCTTTACGATAGTATATATATCGCCAGTATATTTGGTAGCCGCGAGTCCCGTTTAGGAGGTTTTTTGGAATCGATATTAACAGATTTAAAATACCTACCAGGGAACACGCACAGATTATTGGAGATTATTGCCATGTCGCAAAACTGAATTTGATATTCGAAATATATTCACAATACTGTAGGACTTGTAACACTGTAAAAACATGTTGAAGGTTCATCTTTTCACATAACATTGAACAACAAGCACAAATTGAAACTTGTAGCACAAGCCTACATGAGTGCGGCCTTTTAATCCTCATCAAAAAATAGAAAAGTTTCATTTTGAACGCAGTAACAAATGCAATTAACATTAACTTAAATTTCCCAGTGAATTTTGAACTCTCTGTAAGTCAACTAAAGTTAAATACGTTCCGTTATAATTTGTTAATGTTTAAGTTGTAAGCTTGAAAAAGCTGTGATTGTTAGAATTGTGGTTGAAATTAAATTAACTTAAAATTTATTTTTAGATACATAAACATGAATTTTGACCTCATTTTTGACAGTAAATTTTCAGAATTTGTCTGTCAGCAGTGATACATTGCTACTCGGTGAAACGCCTACTTCAGCAAACCCCGATTGCCCAAAAAAATCAATAATTTTCCCAACAATTGCCAGCTGTTTTCCTCTTGACAATATACTGTCTGCTTCTTGAAATATATTACTTTCTATTATTAACCCTTTTGTTACTCACGGGGTATCGGAACTGCGCATTGTCAACGAGTTAATATATGGCTAGAACCTAATCTTTTTAACGAAGCCCTCGCCAAAATCACCTCCGCCAACTATCAAAATAAGAAAATTAGTAAATATCCAGGATAAGGGTTAGAAATTCCGATTGCGCTGAAAAACCAAATTTCAAATCATTCCTAAGTCTAACTCTAACTGGATAATTACTAATTTTTAATTCCTAACGTTGCGTTTTTTACCCAAATATCAGATTATTTTGTTCAAGGCTAGGCTTTGTACCAAAAATCTCTTTACTCATAGATTATGGTAATAGGAAGGGTTACGTCTGGCATGCGCATTTTCCAACTTTTTCAGTGCTATGAACCACTTTGGTGTCATGCGTGAAAGTTGTAGTTGCTTCAAATCAGTGAATCCAAACGTTTTTTGATACATTCTCCTTTTTTGTATTTTATAACTCTCTACTTCTTCCTAGGTACATATAAAAATCGTTCCTTTTAATTTTCAATATTTAACATACTTTTTATGAAAGGATGGGTTGCATATTATAAGCAATCTTTTCAGTATTATGTCTAATTGAGTACAATACATGTTGATGATATGCCTGAAAGTTGACAACGATTTTTTACTGAACCAGTCAATAAATACTAGTATTTGAAAGATGGTATCATTAATTAAAACTGGGGCCCGCTTAATGGTGCGGGTGGGTGTATTTGTGCCACCCTGTTCTTGGAAACAGTTGCTGAATTTCCAACAAATCGATTTAGATTTAGGTTTATTCAAAATATCCACACTATGAATTGTTAAAGTGATATTTATGTTGTTCACCTTTTTCATATCCAACATTTTCAGCCACCAATAAATTCGACATATTATTAAAGGTAGCTAACTATATGATATGATTTCCGATGAAATTAAGGTCTGATTTCAATGCGGCGGCTTTGCAGAGAAAATTTTTGAATGCGGGCCATTCAAGAAACTTTGCCCACTCCGCCCTAAACAATAATACTCATTAAAACTCAGAAACCGCTTTGAATTTAGGAGATGATATAAGATGGACTCTGTCGGAAACTTCTGGCACACATGAGACGAGATGCCCAAAACAGATAATGATAAATGTCCAATTGAATTGAAACAAAATTACAAAGTTGAATAATATTCGAAGTTAAAAAAACATTTGTTTTTATGATTAAGATCTTGTGATACCTCGTGCTTGGATTATAGGAATATTGTAGATGTTGGCCGCCTTATTCGAGCTAAGCCACAATAGCAGGCAGTTTCCCTTTGATTTTTTTTTTTGCATGCAAATTTCCGGGCTTGCCTCCACTTGACATCTCTTATGCTTTTTGTTTGGCATTCCACTGGTCGCCCATAACTTGACTCGCTGATGAGATTTTTTCACTTTTGACTATCGGCGTTCCAGAAGTGTGTGTACCAATACACAGCTAACTAATTTTGTTCGCATACTTTACATCAAGTTGTATAAAGGGACTGAAACCTATGGGCAGGGGGTATATTTACTTGGCTAACACAGACAGTCCCCAAACTCGTAATAGAACAAAAATAAGGAAAATCGGAATGAAAAATTATGGTCTAACCCTAACCTGGTACACACACTACTGGAGTACCTAAAATTGATAGGACGTAACATCTGCATTGTAAGAATAATTTTGTATCTGTCTCTCAGTCAATAAGTTTTTTTTGTTGTACTCAGTACTTCTAATTAAGTGCTCGGAAACTTGATTAAAAAAGTTCTTTAGTCCACTTTATTATTCAGTGTATATTGTTCTATTTTCAATTTACATTTTAGTTACAGTGCATAATTTATTATCAAAAAATTATCAAAAAATTTTTAAAAAATGACATAATTTAAAATCAAATAGGACACAATCATAAGCAAAAGGAATAAGGCAAAAGTAATCGATTGTCTGCATTTAATGAACAAAACGATTCATATAGAATTTTGGTTAATACAAGGACAACATTAGGACCTCCAGAAGTATGTGCACCAAGATGTTGCACAACCTGAACATGGTATGTGTACCAGATTAGGGTTCAGAATGTGCGCCATTTTGGTGCACATACTTCTGGACGTCCTAATTTTGTCCTTGTATTGTACAAAAACACATTTAAACAAACGAAACTCAATAAAATCAGTACCTAAATCAATGTCTCAAAAATTTTTACTATCGTTGCCTCTAAATCAAATTTCAAGAAAATCAAGACCAAATACCTCTTTCAAATAATAAAACTGACATCGCGCAATTTGTCACATTTTAATATTGATACCAACAAAAAAAAATTCCAATGTCTGTCTTTGCAAAGTCGATATTGGGATTGGAATCATTATGCACGATAAAGTTGTAGTCACAGAGTCAAAAACTTGATACAGTATCCCATATTCCTCCTTCTAATCCAATTTCAAAATGAATGGACTTTAAAAAGCCGGAATAAGAATTACAAAAAAAATTGAACAGTGAATATCTGAATTATCCCCCTTCAACTTGTCAAATTACCTCTTTAGGGGTAATTACCCCCCAATTTGGGAACCACTGATCTGAATGAAGATAATTGCTTTAAAGACATATTTTTTAACTAGAAAGAGTGGAATAATAAAATTGAGTTGGAATAACTAAAGCCTTTCAAATAAATCAAGCGATGTAGAGCCGGATTCCAAGTTTGAAGTAGGAGCTCAGTATTGGCTTTAGTCGGAATTGTACCTTGACCCAACTATATAACACAATAAGTAAATTAAATAACACAATTATCTATAAGCAAAAAGGATAAGGCAAACCGTAAAAGATTGTCGGAATTTATTACACATTGCTGCCATCGGAGCTACCGATTCACCACTGCGTTAGTTTGTTTTGAAGTCGATTTGCGAAATTATACCGTAAATGCTAAATGATTTAAAAAACTTTCCCACACGCATAAATACCCGCTATTCCCAAATTTCGAGATTCTGCCGTCACGCCTGAATGAATAAAAAATTATACCGCCATCTTGAAAGTCCAAGCAATTGAAACAAATAGCTGTTCCGTTAATTAATTCCCACAGTCAATATGGACTGGTAACCGGACGAGAGGCCATGTTCGCCATGCTGTCAGACTTGAAACACTAACAGGAATTAGAATAATTAGATTGGTTATATTTAGACCACACATCGACCACTGCTATGAATTCCCTTCTTCTTTACGTTCTTTTGAATAAAACGCGTCTGATGGTATATGCGGCAATAAATCAGGGTTCCACGTTTTCCTCTCTTCATTAGGCAAAATACTTCTTTCGTCCAACCATTGCCGCATACATTCGGTACCGGTACTATCCATTCTAGCGTCGAGTTTATTGATAAAGAATTCTCTCCGATCTTTTGTGAGTTCAAAAATGTCTTCTGCTCCATAGACGCAAATATAATGTCTCCATTCACCTTCAAAATAGGATATAAATATTTTATAACGCCATAATATATATTTAACAAGATCAGGAATCAACATACATACATTTTCATTCAACATTTTCCAACATACATAAAATACACTGTGTGAATAAATATTGCAAAAACAAATAAAGATGGCATTTTAGAGTGAATGCAGGCGCGAAAAAACAATTCTGGATATCGAGTAGCGACAACCCTACCTAGCATTAATTAATTTTAACCCAAAAATGTAAAACAATTATAAAAAGTTTACATCGACTTTTCTGGGACAACTGCTGGAAATTTGGAAAAAAATTGATCCAGTAGTAAAATAGAAAGTAAACTACATTACCATGAGACAAATTAGAAAAACTGATATCTTGATTCAGGCATGGATGAACTATGGCCCGGGGGCGATATACGGACCTCTAAAGAATTATTGCGGGTCCCTGCTTTTGTAAAAAAAAATTAAAAGATTCGATTAGAAATATTTTTCTTATTAAATTTTTTACTAAGAGTAACTATATGATATGATATTTTGAAAAATAAGTTAAATTCGAGTGAACTAAGTAAAATTGCCTAAAGCGGCCTTTTCCCGAACGCTCGCCTACCCCTGTATTTCTGTTCCCTTCCACCCTCCCGCGTGGCTCGCTTGTGTTGGCTATATGTTGGCTGATTTTATTTGAGGCGGACACAGCTTTCAGGGAGATTACTAAAATGGTACATTGCACTGAAAAGATCGGGTATCACTGGTCTGAGCGTCGGCAGTCCGAGTGGTTTTAAGATTCAGTTTAGTTCGCATTTAAACCTGTATTGTCATCGTGATGATTATCGCGGTCTCGTCGTCGACATATTTACTCAGTTGTTTATCTCGCATCCGACGTGTCGCTGTTTTTTTTAGGTATCGTCGTTTCAGGTATTGACTTTCCTAGCGACGCTCGAATCTCGGTAAAGTGCTTACGATGGCATTTCTTGTTATAGCAGTTTAGAATTGCATTGATTTTATAGCGTTGTGGTTTGAATTAATTTAGTAGTCTCGTTTATAGCGTCCTTTTCTGCTGTATTTCGAATTCGATATAGCCTTATGATATTTGCATGTCCACAGTTCTTATTGTATTCCGTTTGTTATTCTTCCGTTGTATACGTGTCGATTCAGGACTATGCTGTTATATGGAGCTGTTTTGTGTAAGTATTCGTTTTATATTCTGTATGACTCATTATTAATAATTTATTTGTTGCTGATAATTAACTTATTAAACACAAAGTGTACATATGAATCGTTTTGTTATTTTTGTTGTGGAAGATGGCTTTTCTCCTAAACTACCAGACCGAGTGCTTTGAAATTTCCAGTGGTCAAAGCTTATTGTTGTTACTTCAATTTATTTCAAAAATATCTATGGTCTATATGTGATTTCGTTTTCACTTCGGTTTAAGATTTGGTTTTGCGTGATGACGTAATTAAAATTAAAAATTGCATGCCATGGTTCCGTTATCATATCTCGGTGATCTGGTTGTCAGATAACCAGTATTGTAGAAGATTTGATATCACCTCGTTTTGGCTTTCTTGTTTATACATTTGAGCATTGATCCAGTCAACTGTTTTGAATATCTCAATAAAACGAGTCTGGCAAAGCGACTTATCCTTGCTGGGTCCCAAAAGGGATACAAATATTGTTGAAAAAAGTAGAAACCCCGGATGAAGTGGCGAGCGAAGAATTTAAACCTGAGATTTTACCCCCTGATGCTAGCATAATTAAATTAAACGGTTTTTAATATTATATGAATCGTGACTTCCTTCCGGATGTTTTTATAACCCATGACCCCCTGTTCATTCTTCTAATAGTTTTATTCTGATTGGTAAATTCCAAACCTCATCATGCTCAAAAAATTCATGCACAGGAAAGTGAAAACAGCATATGGAAAAACCTTTCCAGGTTATAAAATTAGGAAGAACGGGGAATTTTCATATAAAAGGAGAAGTATGCAAACAAAATTGAAATTTGCTTTCAAATCAATTCTGCGCCATTTTAGTACTGTGGCCACCTCCAACTGCTATAGGGCCCCTTGGAGAGAGGGCACGAGCGCCAGGTTGGAAGCCGCTGCGCCATGTCATTGATGACCAGAAGGACCCGTTAAGTCTCATCTATTATACATGATGAAAATGCCTTGAAATGTCCCAAGTTGCAAGTGTTGCGAAGGAAATTTATCGATACCGTATATTGTTTTGGCCCTCGCAGATGTATTCAACGAGGTAAAAATAGGGATTGAAATACAATTACTCATTAAACAAACAAACAAAAAAATGGTTAAGATATATTGAGAACTAACTTTATAACAAAACTGAAATTGTAAAGAGACTTTATGGACACCCTGTATATGAAATCCATATAAATATTACATACCATGACACGCGTTCACTGGCTTATTAAACGACCATTTGATCATTCTAGCAAGCTGGTATCCCCCAAGTAAACTTGAGCCACCCGGTGCTTCTGGATAATGGTGAAGCATGATCCAGAAATGCTCGTCAGGGCTGTACGTATCCAGGGACCATTCTAACAAAGCCGGCCCAACTTCGCCGTCTATTAAAGCCCATTGCAGGAATTCTCTGGTGTATAAATTGTATGCAAGGTTTTTCATTACAGTCATGTTGAACGGCGGTGGAGGGTGTTTTTCTTTCGTTTGGATTATTTTTTCTGTCATTGTCTCGCCTTCAGTCTCGTTTACAATTCTGAATATAAATAAAATATATTTAAAAAAATATTTAACTAATGCGGTGAAAAAATTGAGATCTGCTATTATAGTCGGGGGAAAACTTTTTCAACTGTTTTTAGTGTTTGCTTTGCATTGTTCCAGTAGTTAGATCAGCGTTTCCCAAACAGAAAAAAAATTTGGAGAATATTTAAATTATATTTTAATACAAATATTTTTCAAATGACAAGAAAAAATATATAAACTTCTGTTATGTAGAATTAATCGCTTAATGGCTGGTTTTTCTGATTGTATTAACATGAACTTCTTTTATTATCATATCAATAGCTGTTTACTAACGCATAAATTTACTCTATAATTTTTCACAGTCTCAGCAACTCTTAGTATTTTAGAAGCCGTCCATAATTTCGCTCAGAGATCAATGTCCTACATATTAGGTCAGTCTCGTGACCTCGATCCGAGCAAATTTTTTTCAAAAAACTATTTCAATGAACAAAAAAAAACTGACTTGTAAATAAACTGTGTTCTTGGTTTGACTTGACTGTTGAGTTCTGAATAACCTCCGATGCTGTTGTGACCGCGGAACACTTTCAATTGCTGAACAATTTCTTTGTTTGTTCTCATTGGAAAATCCTGGATAAAAAAGAAACGGAGAATATGAAAAATAATAGGGTTTTATAATTTTCACATTATAAATTAGAGGGGTCTGCAACCTTTTGTCGCTCCCTTGCCAAAATGAAGGGTTGCAAGTCATTGGCGGGCCGCACATATTTTTAGAAAGTTAAAAACCGGATGGTATTTTTTATATTGAAAGTTCAACAGTGATACATTTCTCGAATAGAATATAGATTTATTTGCTTATTGCATTGCATCTCAAAATATCCCATTTGAATATTTTCGGCGCCATTGAACCCTTCGCACAACTTTTCTGCGTTATGTTGCCATTTGTCTAAATATATTTAAATTATAGGCTGATTAAACGAGTAATTGTTAATTTCATACTTGTTAGATTATAATATAATTTAGTCTACACGTCGTGTCTCACAATAAATTCTGTTACGTAAAGAATATAATCGTCAAAACAGCTGTTTTGTTACTATAATTCAGTGAAGCGTCGCGGGCCGGATTATATCACTCCGCGCGCCGGATCCGGCCAGCGGGCCGTAGGTTCCCGATCCCTGAATTAGATCATATGACCCATGGGGTGAGTCGTGGGTGTGAACAGTTACCGGCTTCAATGACCCAGCATTTAGATATGTTAGACTGGATTTCTTGTACAAAGCTCCCGCAAAAAACACCCCCCACTAACTCGCAAAATAAAAAACTGATTACTTATTCAGTTAGAGTTGGGGTTAGGGTTATGAATAATTTAAAATTTTCCAATTACAACCCAAACTCTAACTGGATAAGTACTCAGTTTCCTCTTTTGAGAGTTAGCGGGGGTGTTTCTTTGCGGAGTATTTGTACAAAAGATCCTGTCTTTTAAACTCTGCATCTCATCGTGTCTGTAGGACAGCTTGTAAATAGAGACAACAGTAAGAGAAACGATCATCGTGCATGAAAAAAAAAAAAAAAATTTGGGTCAAAGCAAATTCAATTTATTCAATATAAATGTTACAACTTTATAGCGTGCTTCACAGTATCAAGTGAATATGACTTGATTTGTGTTGGTTATGGCCTGTTTTGGTTGTCTTATGGGGTTCGGGTTTAACAAATGCAACCACATTCGAAGTACGATAATGCGATGAAGGACAGAGGGAGAAATGTAACAAAAATTTTGATCACATACGCCGAGGGCTCAATATTCTATTCATTTAATTAAATATTGCCTAAAGGATTTTTTCCAATATTTGTGATCTGTTATGCTTTCTAATACTGAGCGTTATCCCTGTCGGAGACCGAAATTACCCGATTACATGTGATCGTTACTAGTCAAACAAAGCTAAATATGGAACGCAGCAAATAGCTGGTATCCAGAAGTCGAGTCAATCACAGAGTTACGTTTCACTGGCGATTATTCGAGTACGAGTCAAAATCATTCCACTAAATGAATCGAGTCACCTAGTCAAATCTTGGATAACTGAATACTCTTTTTTATTTCAAATCGAAAACGACTCGATTTTAAATGGCCTGCCATGGCAAAGCACCCTAACTATACCCTAACGTGGATCAAAAATTGAACTTTAAGATGCTAATAATAATTTTTATTGCAGCAAAACGAATACAAAAACGATAAAGCATAAAATTATTAGTTACCTGCGAACATAAATTAATCAAGTATTTCCAATCATACATAGTCTGTGGCACTGCTAGCAGGTCTCTCATGCAGGCAATGTCGGCTAAAAGCCTTGAAGCTGCAGCATATATAACCCTCTGTCTTTGAGTCGATAAAAACACGTTAGGAAAGCATCTAGTTACCGCTTCCAATGTCTTATAAGTTTCAGGAGAGGCCTTGGCATCTAAGTGTATACAGTGAATATTATGTTCCCTGTAGATGGCGCTTAAGAGCAATAAAAGTTGTTCGATATTTTCGTGCATTAGCACTGAGTAGGCGATGGGGAATTCCAATTCTTCTTCGGTAACGGTGAAATCTGAATCCACGAACGGCGGGAATCGGTATCTGAAATTAAACAGTACTTATAATGCAGAGTGTTTATAAAGTCTTGTTAGATCATGTAAAAGAACTTTGATGGTACATATAAAGAACTAATGGCGGGCATATAAAGGTGAATTAATATAGTAAAAATTTTGATTATATAAATGAACACTTAAGAAACAAACTTGGTCTAGATACATTGAGAACTGACTTCATATCTCAATTTTGAAATTGTAAAAGGACTTTATTAACATCCTGTATTATAAAAAAAAGTTTGCAACGTGTTTTCGATGCTCTTAGGAGCAGACTCATTTTAAATGCTCTTATTATAATTCAAACAAATTATCACAAAGTCAAAATAATTTGAATTGTAAAGAGACTTCATTGACTGACTCCCCGTAAATGTCTTTGGTTGAGTTTGAAAAATTATAAACGTATTTAAAAAAAAATTGCAAGCAAATTAATAAATTTTAAATGCTATATATTTGTTTTGTTTGAGTGTGACTACCTAACTGAACCAATTTCCGCTTGGAATTTTAAATTGCAGCACTAAAGAGATAGCGATTGAAATATTGTGAGATTAACTACTTATTCTGCGTTGACGAATTCGTATGCTTATATTACGACAATGCTATATTAAGTTTGCCCCCATATTATATACCCCGAACACCCATGAAATCTCACTTCGAACGACTATTAGATAAGTAAATCTGTAATACGAGTCTAGGGCACGACGCCTCGATCAGTGATAACATACAACCGAAATTCATTGACAATAACGTGTTTGGTGATTATTTGAACAAATTCATTTCGTCTGGGTGAAAGTTTAGTTTCTATTCAGATGGAATCATAAAGAGACATTAGTAGGTTTAGGCAATTAAACTCGTTTTATAGTGTTTGCATTCGTCAACCTACAATAACCATTGACAAGAGTTTCCCAAAAAGAATCATTGGTTTACCTGGAGAACAATAAATTTACAAAATAATCTTTTTAAATGTTTAACGCGTCATTTTAAATTTCAAAATTTAAATGGGGGAGGGGGATTTTCAATGGGCACCGGCGCTATTGTCTACATTTTTTGCCCGTTGGAATTGACGTGAACAAAGTCCTAATGGTTACAGAATCAGGATTGAAATTTCTATCCCTCACCTCACGCATCGTCTCATAAATTGAATATCCAATTTTGAAGTTGACGGATTTCAAATTTTGAAATACTTGTCGTTTTACATTAGCGGAAGATTTACAAGTCCTCGTATATGGTCAATAGCCCCTCATAAAAGTTAAATGATTTGTGCAAACAGTCGACGAATCATTTCCAAAAAGAATTCGTAATGACGTCTTTAATGATCACTTGAACAAATTTATTTCGTCTGAATGAAAGTCTAGTTTCTATTCAGGTGAAATAACAATGAGTCTAGGTATAAGCACTTAAACTCGTTTTATGGCGTTTGCTTAAGTCAATGACATATTCACAATAAGATGTTTACTGCCGTCGTTATACCGCCCTGCTCGCTCCTCTTTTATTTACCCGGACTTGTTATTTACGTGATGGCAGCAACTACTCAAATTGTCCATTTTGTTCTCCGGCTTATATTTCTTTATACTTTTTGCCGCCCAACTGGACCTATGTATCGTTTTTTTAAATTGTTAATAGTTAAACTGAAAAAATCGCTTCCGTCCACAATTAATTGACCAACTTAACATAAATTGTAAATTAACGTAAATTTTCAGTATACTGGATTAGATGCGGGGAGTCAATAGACAGGGCTGGATCAACCATTAAAAAAAATAGGAACGTGCTTGGGGGAAAGAAAGTACGACGGAAATTCCCATAGCCTAATTTTCAATGGCGCTTCAGTGTTTAATACATCCTGCCGCGTTTCATACAAAATAAAAATATACTTTACAAATCAGATTTTGTGGAGAAATAACATCCCAACTCTAGCTTGGGGGGTGGGAGGTTAATATTCATGAAATATAAATATGTATTATTTTATTTTATTTATTTTTTTTTCAAACGGCGCTAATTAGCGCCTTCCACTTCATCAATAGACCCTGTAAAGCAGCCTTTAATATTAATAGTTAGTATTTTTGGAAGAGCCGGAATCTTTCTAATTCTATATTTTCTATCCATTTATTATTGGTATTTGAATCCGGAACCAACCCGGAAGCTTCGATGCCCACACAGTTGAGTCTCACTCACGCTTTCACTGCTCAGTCATCACGCCCATATTTTAAAATTGAGTTAAAAATTGAATTTTACAAAACAGAACAGATATTGCAAAACATTCGACTTCTGTAGTGTTGTTAGTGAGTTCCAATGGCCATGCTCTTAACGGTCGCTATTTGATAAAAACAATCATTTATATATCTGCGTTTCAATGATAATGTTAGGAGCATATAATATGCAACGATGACGATTATCAAAGATGGCGAATGACGGCTAGCATTATATTTGGTGTTTCGAAAGTGAATTAGATTCGAAGCGTGTCGTATTTACTGTATCTTTCGTAGTGACATGCGTACATTTTCTGAAATAGGTAAGCTATTGTTAGTGAGTTCGATTCATTAGATTAGAGGACCGTATCTAATATCTTAAATTCGATCATTGACCATGCCCTAGCAGTAGCTGTTTGTTAAAAACAATTTGAAAGTTTATTAAATTTGTGTAAGGCGTATCGTATTCACAGTAGCTTGCGTAGTGACATACATACATTATATTAAATGACCAGTTTGCGATTTGATAAAAACAACCATTATTGTCTATTCAAATATGATTAACATAAAAGGTACTGGTTCGATTAGTCAAAAAAAAATATTAATAATTTAATTATTCACCTATTATAATTCAAAGCGTGTATTCAAAGTTTCTTTTGAAACTTCTCGAAATAGCTCTTTTATTTGTTAGCTTTCGTTTGATCATAGCCTAACTTGTACAGATATAACAAGATACAACTACAAATGTGAATGGTCATAATAATTGTCAATTTAAGTTGATATAATAGACTTAAAAAAGCTAGAGATGGAACGATTTGGCCCGTCTCTATTAAGCTAACTTAGAAAAGAACGGCGGTTTTCTTCACACAATATCCTAAATCAGTGTTTTCCAAACTTTCTGTTAATTGTCCCTTTTGGAAAATTTAGATTTGCTCAGTTCCCCCCAAAATTGTACTGCGTGGTGCAATTGGACAAAATAAGTCATGTAAGCTGCAAAAATATACTTGGTAGTTACTGTAGTTGTAGTTTCAACATTGATGAAAATGAGACTTCATAAGGAGTTCTTAAACTAATGTCACTAAATTATTGACATCCGGTGATAAGAGAAATAGTTTAAGGTAAATTATGAGGTATGAGAAAAAGATCTTTATGTTTTATCTAATGTACCCCTTGAAAAATCTAAATGTAGCCCCGGGGAATACGTACATATATCCCAATCCCAGTTTGAGAACCCCGTCCCAAATCCAATATTTCATGTTTTGAGCATAAAGAATATATGATTCAGGCTTGGCCACCGTTATTCTCAATAAATATGAAATACTGGTTCAAATTACCAAAGACGTATTATAACGTGTACTCATAAAGTTGTTTTGAAAGATTCGAAATTAGATGAATATAGATTATTTGTGCCATGATGAAACTATTTTTCAGAACAAATATGACAATAAAAAAGCAAATAGTACTCAAATTTGTTCAAACATTTGAAAAGCTTTTCCATGATTATAATTCAACAAAGTATGAATATATATCGAAAGTGCGAGAAACCTTTCATAGTTTGAATTATCGACTCGTTGTTTCAGACTTGTTTTCGGACAAGCCTATTTACCAATATTAGGTCCGCCCACAATTATATTTCAGAACGATAATATTTATTTTTCATAAGATGTTTCATATCCTTCCACTCCCAGAAAGTCGCTGCACAAGCGTACTTTTTAGGCGAGAAGGTAATACTATATGGAAATTACGATCGTTTTGCCGTATTTCTTTGTCCTGTGTATTGTACAAGAGTTTTATTTGTATATTTGATGTCTGTTGTCCCACTATAGCGCATCAGTCCTAAACTGCAATTGTACTTCTTGGGGTAGTAGGTAGGGGGGGGGGGGGGGGGGGGGGGGTTGTAGTTATTATTCCCACAAACATTTATAAAGAGGTTTGAAATTATACCTGAGAACAAAAAACAAGCAATAAATTATTTCACCCTGACAATATTGATGGCTGTTTCTCCCGACCAACTCGAATTCATTCATCGACAGAACAAACAGCCATTATTGCACAGTACTTTCCAAATTGGTTAACTATTTACCGCCGCATATTTCCAGCGCTCGATTCAACCTCGAAACACGAGTTAATCTTCAAAACGCTACACGAGCTTGGATTGCTAGGTTAGGCACTGCTATGAAGTGCAATATAACATATGCCTTGAGAAACTTCAATTATTCAATTCGGTGCTACCATCGCGTGAGATTCGGTTTTGGCACAAGGTTTATATTTTCTTTTTACATAGCCCGTCAGTCCAGGGGAGCAAAACTTTTGGTCGCTGGTCCAGAGATATCTCCCACCCCGGATCTAAAATCTGGTACAGCAGGATGACACAAAAACACAACAAATGCCATTTTAAAATACATTATAAAGCAGTGGTTCTGAAACGGTGGGGCAATATTTTGAGGAAACGTAGACAAATTTTTGAGGGGGCGTGAAGTTAAATAAAAATAAAACTATATGTTAAGTTGATCTTGTCCGCCCCATTTTGAATATTTACATTTCCTTATTTTCGATATAAACGTTCCATCTACGTATTTTCAACGTGGCAATTTGTTTTGTGTAAGTGTGACCTCCTATTTAAACCAATTTCTGCTGGAATTCTAAATTGCAAGCATAAACGACATAGCGATTGAGATATAGTGAGAATAACTACATATCCATATTCTGCGCTGGCGGATTCCTATTTTAATATTACAAGGATGCTATATCAAAGTGGTCCTCACGTCACCCCCCCCCCCCCCCTTTTATAATTCCAGTGATAGTA